CTGTAAAACTCTATGAGAGGCTGAAAGCTGTTGCAGCTGGACAGTGCACTGAGTGTCACTATCTTTAGGGTAGTATACACCCAGAGATGAATTCCCAGAACACATGCAGTCTGCATAACAGACATTGGTCCCCAGTGCATACTACCCTAAATGTTGGTTCCACTTAGTGCATCATCCAGATCTTTAAGCTTCTTATAGAGCTGGCAGCAGGGCAGGATGGTGCACCTGTGTCTTCTACCAAGTGAGCATGAGGTCTTAGCTGGAAGGAAATATCGGCCCATGAGGGTACTCCTGTCCAGAACAGTATGGGAGAGTCTTGCTTATTAGTTACATACTTCGATTACTGCATCCTGATGACCTTATAATTTAGCATAAAGATAATATAAACTTTAATGAAGACTGCAAGACCCTGGGTTTACTTCAATAATACCAGCAGACACCTACATTGTAAAACAGACCCGGCTGTTCAACCTATAGTACTGTAGCACTACCCCCTTAGGAGTTGCTGATGAATTGTATCCCCCTATAGTCCTGCACAGCCTGGCATCACACTTTTCCACAGAAGCTTGCATTCAGGGTCAAAAATCAGTCATTGAGCTTTGGTTTTATTTGTTCATTAAGGGTATTTAAACTAACATAGGGTTAGGGATGTACAGGATGCCCAAGCTTACCGATAGCCAAGGACAATGTCCTGGAAAAATTTACAAGCCTTCTCTACAGCATGGTCTTTATTGGAGAGCTAGTTAGCGTCTCCTTAGTGTACCACCCCAGACCCTAGATGAACTCTTCACCCAGCAATCTGGAGGTATCCCTGAGCAGGGGATCCAGCTCCTGTCCCTTTAAAGCGGCAAACAGCCACAAGTAGGGGGCTGATATGGTTTCCCACCAGAGTGCTCATATCACCTATCTGCCCAGGGGGTGTAGGTGTACTCACTCAGATCCTCTTCTGTACCACTTGTGGGTTGCTGCTGCTACCAGGCCTATCAGCTGGGCTGCTCCTTCCCTGTCATACAAATGGTCCTCTCTCAGGGGGCCAGTGAGTTCGTAGCTTTCTCCCTTTCCAGCTCCAGACCTACAGGTGGGCCCCATCCCACTGGGCCTCCTTGCAGCCTCCTTCCTCACAGCCTAACATCTTCCTCTCTCCTTCTTCCACTCGACTTCCCTCTCACTGGACAGGCTCACTTATATTTAAGGGCTATTCTGACCCCTTACCAAGCCTCCTATTGGGGATTGGTCAAAGTCCCTTAAATATGCAGATCAGCCACTCCTTACATCCGTCCATTGCTTCTAGAACTTTCTCCAAAGTTCTAGGCAGGGGAATGTCTCAGAGGGCTGAGTCTGCAGAGCCTTCCAGCTCCTTACTGAAATTTGACCACTCTCACTATTACACCTAGGCTGATATTCCACCCCTGTCTAACCATTAGGATATAGCTCTCCCTAACTGACTAGGAGGGTGCTACAGTAAAAATAACTGCTATTGTCAGTGTTATTTCAGCATAATATTTTCCTTGTCTAACTTTCTTTTTTTGTTTTGTTCTTTGGGTTCTTGTCACAGCTCGCATGGAATATTTAACACAAGTGTCTTTGAACAAGGCCCGGTCTGTCCTTGAAAGGGAGATAGCACTGCATTGTGATGCTCTGCTTTCCCAAGAGCAAACACTACAGCGCCTAAGAGACAACAAGAGTAAGTATTGTAGCTTGAACTAACCTCAGAAGTGCTGGAAGACTAAAAGATAACAGGTAGCATCAGATAATACAAAATGATGTACACCAAGAGGACTCACTTGTAACTTGAAGGCAAAGAATTTGGATTTCTGTCCATCCAGTCCTGGGATTTAGACAGCTCTGAAACACACAGCACAACCCTTTGTAGCAGAGCAGAAGTCCTTTTTTTTCTTTCCTGTAGTTATTGAACACTTACAGGTCTGGTCCCTCCCACAGCCGGTTACTGGGAAATGAAAAAAAAAACAGCAGCTTGATGAGCTCATCTCTGTGTCATTCCTCCTATCATCATGTTCCTTGTTAGTACATGAGCACTGCAGCACAACTAACTGGCTATTTGTGTGCTGCTTCTGCCAGTCTGAGCTCTGTTGTACAAGGACAGCAAAAAGCTGGTATCAGGTCAAATTCAGGTACTAGTGAATTAGCGAATACAGAGCTGCATTAATTTGTGTATTTTATTCCTGTGTGGAGTTCAACATTAACCTCTTAAGGCCTGCTGCATGCATATGTGTGGCAGCACAGTGGTGGGCTTGAATCTTTAATGTTGGGGTACCACATATTATGCACAGCCAGAGATTCTGTTTTATGGTGGGAGTATGCTCACTTGGTGCTCCCAGTTCAGTAACTGATCACCAACAGCTTTGGGTCACTGTTTATGACCCCAGAACCAGGAATGTACTCCTTACCATATGGTCACTGTGACAGCTGATCACAGAGATCACATGACCGGTAAGCCTGCTTCCAACTCCCAACGGAAGCAGGTTCCCACTGGCTAGAAAGGGTTAAAAAATAGGAAACTAAAATAAAAGCATCACCATATACCATATATAGTCAGATTGGTCAACTTAACAAGACTTTGATGAGGCCTGTGACTTAACAGATAAACAAGTAAAAGTTGGATGTTTGCCAGTTGAACCACAGTTCTGGTTCAGAAAAAAATAACCTGGTTGGTATTTTCCCAAACTTTACTAGGCCTTAATATTATGAGCAGACCAGAATGATACAAAACCCTTAATGACATAAAGGGTAACTCCACTGCTTACTGTTATTTGGTTATAGATTTTTAGCACTACCCCCTTGAGAGCCGCTAAGTTTTTGGGTCCCCCTAAGCCCTGTACAGTCAGGCAACACAAATTTTCCACACTAAATCACCTATTCGTTTATTGTATCTTTTGTGGTAAGTACTGGGCTCCTGGCACCCCTCTCCCAGGTGTATTTATTTGTATTTTACTTATAACTTGAAAATGATGCCTAATGTCATCTTGAGAGAGATGAGAACGCTAGATGAAGAGTGATATTCAGTATGAAATGTGTTAGATCTGTGCTTGATGTGTTTTTGGTGCTATGTGTATAAATGTTAAAACTTTGGGGAATTAATCATTATCTTAGGTGTCCTAGACTTGGATTATATATCACACTTTATACTCCAGTTTACTATGGTTGATTTTTCAGTTAGTGTTTTTCTTGGCTTGTATAATGGCAAGACTGGAGTGTTCTTGTTCCCTGACTGGTTTGTCAATGAAAACGCATTAATATGGATCCCAGCCTGGAAAAAGTGACACAATGGGATATAGCTCTTCCTACCATAGCAAACTACACTATATACCAATTCTTTGTAGGGCTTAGGACATCTTGAGCATAGTGTTGTGTTCCTTGATGGAATAATTTGTGCTTAAGAACCATAGATTCTCATTGTTTCTTTATGGATCCTTAGATGCAGGAAGATGTATGCGGAATGTATTGTCCTACTATCACAAGCACAGCCAAGTTAGCCTCTTAAAAGAAGACTATTTTGTGCTTGTGCCTCTGGTCCAGGTTGTGATGACCATATCTAATCCCAGCACCTCACTGGATTCAATGACTACATTACTGGTGGAGCAGTATATTGCTTTCATGGATTTACGACCAACTGTTATGTATCAGAATCAGAAAAATGAGGTAACTATCAATTTGAATTATATCAGACCTGTTGTGCAGAGAGAAGCACTGCTAGATACTGTACAATTCTATAATTTCTGAACCCTCAACACTGAATTTAGGCAGATATGTTCTTTCATACTGAGTACCATCTTTGCTCTAAAGCAATATACACAGGTGTATGAGTAGGAGGTTGGATCATCAACCACATGCATTGGAATGAAAAAGTTGTTCCACAAAGGAACAAAAGACAAAAGGCAATAATCTATTTCAGAAGCCCCATAGGAAGACATTTAAATCTGGTAAATTATAAGAACGTTAACAAAGTTGCGCTGTTTTCTGAGTAGGTATCTGATTACTGAAATTTACATTTTCATGTGTGCTGGTCTCCTGAGTTCCCTCCTGAAACTCTCATTAGTTCCCCCCTTTGACCTCGTCTATCCATTACAAGATACAGTAGTGAGGTGCAAGCCAGCAGGAAGAACCAATGAGAGTTGTTAGGGACCCAAGAATTCAACACTCCCGGAAGTGTTGGCTTCAGTGTTGACCTCAGCAGAAGATTTTTGTCATGTACCTAGTTCAGGGCTTAAAATTTCAAGTCCTGAGCTACTAGCCAGGCCTTAGAGTTACTCGCCACCAACAAACACACACAAACAGAGACACCTGTACACACACACAGACATGTATATACACACACACACACACACACACACACACAGAAACATGTACACACACGCACAGAGACACATGTACACACACACACAGACACATGTATACACACACAGGCAGATACAGACACGCATACACACAGATACATGTACATGCACAGACACATGTACATACATAAACAGACACATGTACATACATACACATGTACACACAGACACATGTACGAACATACACACACACATGTACGTGCACACACACAGACACATGTACACAAACACATACATGTACATACACGCAGAGACATGTACAGATACAAACATGTACATACACACAGACACATGTACAATTGTACATACATACACAGGCACACACAAACACACACACACATGTACACGCACACACACACACACACCACCCCCCCCCCCCCCCATAAAAAGTTGCAGTACTTCGTTGTTCACTCACAGATCCGGGTACTACACTCTAGGGCAGTGATGGCGAACCTTTTTGAGCCCGAGTGCCCAAACTGCAACCCAAAACCAACTTATTTCTTTCAAAGTGCCAACACTGCAATGAAACCTGAATATCGAGCTTTTGGTTTAGAAAAAACAACTCGTACAGTAGTGCAAACTAATTAACAGTACAGGGATGACCAGAGACTGCGGACAGTACAGGGATGACCAGAGACTGCGGACACAGTACAGGGATGACCAGAGACTGCGGACAGTACAGGGATGACCAGAGACTGCGGACACAGTACAGGGATGACCAGAGACTGCAGACACAGTACAGGGATGACCAGAGACTGCGGACACAGTACAGGGATGACCAGAGACTGTGGACACAGTACAGGGATGACCAGAGACTGCGGACACAGTACAGGGATGACCAGAGACTGCGGACACAGTACAGGAGATGACCAGAGACTGCGGACATAGTACAGGAGATGACCAGAGACTGCGGACACGGTACAGGGATGACCAGAGACTGCAGACACAGTACAGGGATGACCAGAGACTGCAGACATAGTACAGGGGATGAGACTGCAGAGACTGCAGACACACAGTACAGGGATGACCAGAGACTGCGGACACAGTACAGGGATGACCAGAGACTGCGGACACAGTACAGGGATGACCAGAGACTGCGGACACAGTACAGGGATGACCAGAGACGCGTGGACACAGTACAGGGATGACCAGAGACTGCGGACACAGTACAGGGATGACCAGAGACTGCGGACACAGTACAGGAGATGACCAGAGACGGACACAGACTGTGGACAGAGACAGACAGTACAGGAGATGACCAGAGACTGCGGACACAGTACAGGAGATGACCAGAGACTGTGGACACAGTACAGGAGATGACCAGAGACTGCAGACACAGTACAGGAGATGACCAGAGACTGCGGACACAGTACAGGGGATGACCAGAGACTGCAGACAGTACAGGAGATGACCAGAGACTGCGGACACAGTACAGGAGATGACCAGAGACTGCGGACAGTACAGGGGATGACCAGAGACAGCGGACAGTACAGGGATGACCAGAGACTGCGGACACAGTACAGGAATGACCAGAGACTGCGGACAGTACAGGGATGACCAGAGACTGCGGACAGTACAGGGATGACCAGAGACTGTGGACACAGTACAGGAGATGACCAGAGACTGCGGAAAGCACAGGGATGACCAGAGACTGCGGACAGTACAGATGACTGCTGACCTTTGGGGAGGGAGGGGGAGCGGGTACCTGAATTTGACAGGTACCCGCTCTTACTTCGGCAGAGTTTTTTTTTTATCTTACCTGTTCCTTTATCCAGCCGCGCGCTGTCTTCCCGGCTTCTGTAGTGTGGGCGCTCGTCGGGACAGCCGGATGCCCAGTGCGCATGTGCGAGAAGCGCTGCGCTTTGTGATTGGTCCGGCGGCTTCTGGGATCTGTCATGTGTCCCAGGTACCGCCTTACCATTCACAAAGAGCACTGCTTCTTGCGCATGCGCACTTGGGACGCACACTACAGAAGCCGGGAAGACAGCGCGCCGCTGGATAGAGGGACAGGTACGGTCCCACTGCAGAGCTGAGCGGCCGGCCCGGTATTCTGAGACGGCGGCGGTGGAAATACCGGACCGGCCGCTCTATATTCCCTCCATAAGACGCACTGACATTTTCCCCCCTTTTTTGGGGGAAAAAAAGTGCGTCTTATGGAGCGAAAAATACAGTATTCTCCTGGCGTGCCCACAGATAAGGCTCGGCGTGCCGACTGTGGCACGCGTGCCACGGGTTCGCCATCACTGCTCTAGGGGGAGGCAGAGAGCACAGCACACACTCCTTGCTTTGCTTTCACTGCTCTCAGCTATTGAGCAGTCTGACGGCTCCCAGTGCCAATGACAGATCCGGCCTGAGCTCCGAGCCTGCTCAGCAAGATGGCCCTGGGGGACATACTCACCCCCACCATAATTTCCACTCGCCTGCTCGCCAAATTTCAAGCCCTGACCTAGTTGAACCAAGTTGACAAGTGGGCTTTCTGTACACCTCCTGTCCTGTTTTCCCTGGAATTACAGGGTATACAGGGCACAGCGTGGCATGGGTGCTTGTAGAAGATCCTGGCCAGTAGATGCCCTGGGTAATGCAGGAGTGCAGAAAGCAAAGGCAGAGTCAGGGGCGAGGCCAAAGTCAGTATCAGATGAGCGAAGTAGGTACCAAATCAGCAGACAGAAGACAAGGTCATATCCCAAGCTGGAGTCAGTAATAAAATAGCATAAAGCAGAGTCAAGACAAAGCCAGGTTAGATCACAGATGTAAGCACAACACTTGGTCACGGGTCACAGAAGCTGATGACCACTCAGTTATCTTCTGAATTCCTGTACAGCTTTAAATAGGTCACCAGGCACCAAAATGTCAGCCCCTAATGTGCATAATCATCCTCACTCCTGCACATGTGCATTTTCATGAATGTGCTCACATTGATGCATGTATAGCTCTCACTAAGCGAATGCACAAACTGTGTTATGCACACATTCTCCTGAATATTTCTCAGCATCAGAGTGAAATGTAGCAGTGCATTTACATACAGTACTTTTACAGGAATGACTTAATTTAAAAACGTTACTATAGTGTCAGGGTTGCTTTAACTACAATTTAAAGAAATAATCTATTTTAAAGAGAACACAGTGCCTTATGTACACTACTAAGAAAAGTAAAGTGCTGACTGTGCTGACTGCACATTATCTGTTTGTTCAAAAGAAATAATGTCAAATTCAATCTATATACTACAAATGTGTAATTCGATTAAACTAATGAAATCTTTTATCAATTCCCTCAGAGACTGTTTTGGTGGTACAGCAATGATTTACCAATTTCTTCACTGCCAGCTGGCACAGACTAATTGCAGAGCTAATCTAGTAGTAGAAAGCATACTGGCAAAACCCAATTCATAATCCCTGGTTCAATATTTAATGAAGTGTCATAATTAGAGATGAGTGAATTATTCAAAAATTCGATTCGACTGATTCGGCGAATTCGTGAAAAAATTTACATTCGAGTCGAATATATTCGCCGCGAATTTAACTTATAAAAGGGTGTTTCTAGGCTTCAGAGAGCCTTTATATTAGTGCAGAACACTGTACCTTTAATTTAAATGCCCTTGGAGTCTGCTGGGGAAGAGAAATAATACTGACAGTCAGTATGACATGCAGATGAGTGCCGTCGATCTTAGAATCACCGCACACTTCACTCATTTGGGCAATCACGGGGCCAAAACCAGAGTGTGAAGGCACATGGCAGAGTGTGGCGATGGAGACAGCAGCAATGGGAGGCCGTACAGGGACCCATGACACACTCTGGACCTGGCAGCAGCATGAGGAGTCGGTACGGGGGACCATGGCAGATTACGGGCCTGGCAGCAGCAATGGGAGGCCGTACAGGGACCCATGACACACTCTGGGACCTGGCAGCAGCATGAGGAGGCGGTACAGGAGCCCATGACAGATTACGGGCCTGGCAGCAGCATGAGGAGTCGGTACGGGGGCCATGACACACTCTGGACCTGGCAGCAGCATGAGGAGGCGGTACAGGGGCGCATGACAGATTACGAGCCTGGCAGCAGCAACTTGGTCAGGAGGACGTTTCAGCTTCTGCAACCGTCGGTGCGTGCTCGCAAACTGTTGTCTCTTGGAAACGGATTCCAAGAAAGACTGCTGACGGAATCCGTGAAGAGGAGTAGCAGGAGATGGAGGAGGTGCATCTGAACGAGCGGAATATGCCAACAAGCGACAACAGGGGCCCAATGACAGATTACGGGCCTGGCAGTCAGCATGAGGAGTTGGTACGGGGGCCCATGGCAGATTACGGGCCTGGCAGCAGCAATGGGAGGCCCGTAATCTGCCAGCACCCTATGACAAAAAAATGGAACACACCAGCAGTGTGTGAGGAGACCTGAAAGTGGCACATGGCAGAGTGTGGCGATGGAGACAGCAGCAATGGGAGGCCGTACAGGGACCCATGAGAGACTCTGGACCTGGCAGCAGCATGAGGAGGTGGTACAGGGGCCCCATGGCAGATTAGGGCCTGGCAGCAGCTATGGGAGGCCCCGTAATCTGCCAGCACCCTATGACAACAAAAAATGGAAAACACACCCGCAGTGTGAGGAGACCTGAAAGAGCAAGGTACAGTTGGGGCAGAGTGTGGCGATGGAGACAGCAGCAATGGGGGAGGCCGTAAAGGGACCCATGAGAGACTGTGGGGACCTGGCAGCAGCATGAGGAGGTGGTACTATGGAACACACCAGCAGTGGGGAGACCCTTTAAAATGGACTTTTCAAGAGACACTGTGGACCTGGGGAGCAGTGAGGAGGCGGTACAGGGGGGCCCTGGAAATTAGGGGCCTGGCAGCACAAAGGGAAAGGCCCGGGAAAACTGCCAGAAACCCCATGACAAAAAAAGGAACACACCCCAGTGTGAGGAACCTGAAAATGGGCCCTGGAAGGGGGTGGCGATGGAGACAGCGAATGGGGGGCCGTACAGGGGGCCCCTGAGAGACTCTGGACCCGGCAGCAGCATGAGGAGGGGGGGGGTTTTAGGGGGCCCCGGGAGAATTTTGGGGGCCGGCAGCCGTTTTGGGAAAGGGCCGAAACCCGCCAGCACCCTATGAAAAAAAAAGGAAAAACACCAGCAAGTTTTGGGGGAGAAACCCGAAAATGGACATTGGGATGAGACACTGGGGGAACCCGGAGGGATAGGGGGGAGGCCGGGGGAACCGGGGGCCCCTGGAGAAATTTGGAGCCTGGCAGCCTTGGGAGGCCCCAAACTGCCAAACACCCCATGACAAAAAAATTGGGGACACACCACCCG